GGAGATGTTTGATTGACAAGGTAGGAGATAGCTGGGAATGGAGGAGTTTGGGAGACATGTTAGAAATGTGGCTGGGTAGCCTTGGACTCTGCTGCCATGCTACTGACTGGCACGGGTCCAAGCCAGTAGGTCGGGACCTGGAACCGGCCTGGCATGTCACAATGCATCTGAGCCGGCCATGGCAGGGACCCTGTGGTCGCACGGCACAATCCCTCCCCACAGCCTGCCTGTCCCCGCTACCCCCACAGGTACGTGCCAAATTCATCCTTTCATGGGAAAAACCCGGGGTAATGAAAGCGTACATTCAGCCGTGCACCCCAGCGGTGACATTAGGGGACTCTCCAGAACATTCCTTCCCGTGCACCTGTGTGGAACGTTCACAGTTCTCCGTGTCATCACCAACATTCGGAATTCAGGGAAATCCTGCGCGGAATTCAGAGATCCTGTTCGGAATCTTGTATCGCCCAGGCTTGAGATAGTTCAGTACAATTCAGTCGCAGAAAAACGATAAAGATACGAAGAAGTTTGGTTATCATATCGATGACATTTTTCGTGGAAAATGAAATAGATAGTTTTCCGTTGCCGGATAGTTTTCAGGATGATATTTCATGAATTGGGACCTTTTGTATGTAGTCTAACACATGTGGCCTAGTGGAGTTAGAACGTGTCAAGGATAACTCTCAGCTTACTCTAAATGTTCGAGGACCAGTACCTGTAAATGGACTCCTTGATCCAGATAGATGGACACTGACACCTTCTCGTCAGTCTGGAGAGAAAAACCATGACCTTGGTGTCCTTGGCTACTCTCCAGTCTTCTGAAACTGAGTCCATCATCCTTGGTGGAGAGAATTTGTCACACGTATCATATTGGAGTGCCAGGGACACATATAGGACCTGTACATAGCTGTGAGTTCTTTCCTGTCATATGGGTAAATATCTTCCCTTTGCCTGTACACTGGGCATGGATGTAGAGTGCTCTCTTGAAGGTGGGTTACAAATTATGCTTTTTTTCCAGGTTTTCCAGTAGGTCTTTGCAGCATATGACAACCAAGAGAAATCTGGGTCATTTTGTTTAATGTTAAAAGTTTGTAATATTTTGTTGACTGCATATAGTATAGTGTATGGTGCATATTTTCACCATGAATGGGAATTCTATCCCAGACCGTAAGGATTCAGAACAAATGGTAGATTAGAAAAAGTTGGATATATTTCCACAGTTACTGTAGGAGTAAGGATGGCCATTATGAAAAACTAGACGTTTGTGTACAACTGGATTCCCTGCCTCAGCTACTATCTTACCACCATAACGCTTAGTAGTTAAGCTAACATTGAGGGTAAAGTTTGAGTTTTGTTACTGTTCTAGAGTCTGGTCCATTAGTGGTCTGTGTGCCTCTAAGTGCAGATGGAGTGGTGTCTCAACAACTACCTTTATCAGGTAGTCCTGACAGTCATTCCTTCCTAGAGGGGGCCTGGGCCGTGTCAGTCCAAACCCCAGGACTAGTCCTCCCCTGTCAGGCCCTCCGTTGGCAGCCTGCCCGCACTTCTGGCGCCAACTAGTCTTAACAGCAGTGCGTTGCCATGGCAACTCAAGTTGATGGTTTAGAACAGATGTCCCGGGCCAGCTAGGCGTAGATTGAAAACCAAGTGCTACTAGTACTAGAAGAAGAAACGGAGTCGATTAGAATTGGCTGTAAATCATACAATTTCATATAATCTATATTTTAGACTACAATGTGGTATTTGTGTATGCATCATAGAAAAGTTTATTGCAAATACATGCCCGAGGGCTAATTGCAGTTACAAACAACATTTATGAAGGAAGAAAATACAATGGTACAGTGTATGTGGGACTACGTCTAACATTATACTATATTCTACAACATACATGACAATGCTGGATGTTGGTTAGGGAAAAAGGCAGTATCGTATTGAGAAAGTGCTGCTGACTGTATAGGGAGGGTTGAAAGAGTTCTCTAGAATATGTAGTGATATTGGGTGGAGGGTGCCAGCCCACAAGCATGGACAAATGGGGCGTACCACCAACTGTGGACAGCACGCATCTTCAGCCTCAAAGAAAACCTAGCCATGTTTGGGACAAGCCTTTTACAGATTTAATGTATCCCCCTTCAGTTCAAACCACGGCTACCGTACTGCGCGCCAAGGATAAGAGCACAAAATGCCAGCAGGTAGCAACTTTACCGTACTTACATCATGTACTTTGGAGCCTTTGAAGCCAATTTTTGAGTACAGTTGCATGGAAGAAAGTCATTTTGAAGAAAGCTGTCAATGCCGTTTTCTTTTGGGGGTGCCCTTATATGCTGTCGGGGGGCATCCCCTGCCTTTTGTAGGCAGACTGACCATCTATAGCTGCCCAGGCAGCACAGATAAAAGGCTGAGTGTGACCTGTGATCAGTAATGCTGCTGTAGACTGGGGGATGAAGAGTTTTAGCTGGGAGGTGCTAGATCTGTCATGGGTTCAGGTGGGGACAGCCTTGTATATTATTTACTAAATCCTAGGTTCTAGCTATTCCCTACATGCAATAAGCTAGAAAAATTGTTCAGAGAGATTGAATTGAAGATCTTCTTGACAGATTTGATGGAAAAGGCTATTTTAGAACTTAGAAGACAAGCCCTATTCTATTTCGACTTGTACCAGTCTTTATTGCCTAAATGCAGGAATGCACGCCCTTTTTATTCAAGTATCTAGCTTAGTAGAAACTCAACAGTTTTTCAGGGTTCTTGTTCAAGTAAACGTTTGGTGCAGTAAGAATTGCTATGCCATCCTCCGTACCCTGAGTTGTAGTACATATATGTAGACGCGGTGTGATAGTGACAGTAGGTTGGTGAAGATGCCCCCCCCCCCCGTCCGAAGCTTTGATGTCTCTCTGTCCCCCCAGCTTGACACAATGATGGGTGGAATATTTTGCTTGCGGATTTGGAGTTGAGCATTGCTTCGTGAGCGGCGGCTTTGCGCCATGCTGGGACGGCTATTCTGCCTCTTTCTTCCTCACCAGCTTCAAAGCCAGGCAGCTGCCTGTTTCAGTGTTTGCCCAAATGCAGAGCGGCCAGGTCTTGTGCGGAGTTAACTGTGTTAAAGCTGCTGTTGAACCGCAAGTTTTAGAGGCTTGTAACCAGAAATTCCCTGTCAGTTTTGCCTTAGGCCACACCAATTTGATTTCTTGGTTAACGGATTTTTCTAAAAAAATAATGGAGCGGGCGGGCAAAAAAAAAATAAAAACAAAAACAGGCCTAGGCATCCTATTATGGACCCAAAATGGTACGATAGGAGCCATGAAGTCAACACACCAGGTTGGTTCAAAACTTAAACAATGAATTTTGAACTTTTAATGATACCACTGCATTGAAAGATGGAATAACTGTAACAACTAGGAAGAAAAGGACTGTTTTCAACTGTTCAGGGCAAAATGAGCATTTTGCAGTTGATTCTGAATTTTTTTTTTGCAAATCAGAAGAAATGAAGCGGGCGAATCCGTTAACCAAGAAATTGAATTGGTGTGGCCTTATAAGTTTTACTGAAAATGTTATGTCAGGCGAACCAAAGAAATACAGCTCTGTGATTGAAGAAACCAGACACTGCAGCCAAACGTTGTCTTGGACGGCAGCCAAACGAAACTGCTTAAATTAATCCACATGAAACAGTTGTGGCCAAAGTTGCCACTCCGTGCTAAAGGGTGCAGATGGCTAATAGTTTTGCCATCTGTATTGGCCCTTTCTTCTGGGGCCTCCAGCAACCTCTGTGGCATAGATATGAGCCCAACACGTGAAGGCATGTTGGAGATAAACCAGGTCTTTTTGGGCTGGCTGAGCGCTGCGCACCCGAGGGGAATTTCTAGAAAACCTTTTACAGCCCACATGAATGTCTTCCCGGCGCATTATGGACATATTTAATGGGTTTTTAGTGTTTTTTATCGGTTTGGTAAGTTCCACGGTGGATGTATTGGAGGTGGCAGATGGCTGAATTAGTCTGAAGCTTGCTTCCTAGGCAGTTTACCTGCTAGATATGGCCTCTGTCAAATAAATATTCTCCCTTTACACAGCTGTAATTTTCTCATCTGTCAGTGGGCCAAATGTTCCTCTTTGGCACTGCTGGCACTGATATGTGCCATACAACTAATATTAAATTCATTTTGGTACAACTCCAATGGCTTTGCAGAAAAATATTTTGTCAGACGTTGTATTTATATTATACTGAAGTGGTGATACATTGTTTTTTTGGTGTGTGTATGCGTGTGTGTGTGTGTGTGTGTGTGTACAGTCTGTGCGTTTAAAACTGCCAGGGTAAGTCAAATGAAATTTAGGCATGACAGAGGTCACCACCTCTCCACTGACCTCTGGAGGTTTTGTCCTGGCCAGTTCTTTTCACTCTTTACAAAGCACAGCCTGAAACTGGACTGGACGTGTTTTTGTGGGCTAACGCTGGAAGCTGTTGTGTAGCATTTCCACATGTTACTCTTGATAAATGCCGCTGCGAAGTCTAGAACCTGTCTTTGCCCGCGCTCCCGTCTTTAGCCCGCAACAGCAGGCCTTTAGTCATGCCTAACAGGTGCCCCTATCGTCCCTAATCCGCTGTTTTATAACGGTTTACGCTTAATTACTTTTTCATTGCCGAGCATTTGGACTGGGAGGAGTTGTAATATTCTTGCTCATGGACCGTGTGTGTGTTTGGGGGGGGGTGGATTGGGCAGTCAGCCAGTGGCAGCAAGTGACAGGTCCAACTCAGAGATAAAGTGCATTTTGCTTTATTAGGCGTTTGGGTACAACTGCTGGCACTAGTGGTGAAAAAGAATACTCTGACAGTATTGCACTGATATCTTGAAGTCATTGGGGTGAGAAATTTAGCATGAAACGGTGTTCAACTCCTGTGCCCCTTGTGTAGGTTTGCTACAATTGTTAAACTTACAGCATGATAAAAGTTTGTTGTTAATATGAATTTTTTGGCTATCTTTCACTAACTGGAGTGTCTCTTGCTGTGGTTTCAGGTACTGGTGGGTCACGAGGCCACAGTCTGATAGAAATTGCAGTTGTGAAGCCCATCCTCTGCCAACACTGTGAGTATAAACAACTTGAATTACTACTACATTTACTCAGCTGTTCCCTGAACTGTCATGAACTTAGTTCAGTTTAGTTCAGTTTTTATTTCGCACATTAAAACAAAATGTAACAATACAAATACAAGAAAATATAAATGAAATGTAACAGTGCAGGTAGGCCGGAAGCATAAAATGCTTATGAGGAGGCCTCCCTTCATAACGTGATTAACAATTCAAATAAATCGGATAAATAAGAAATAATTTAGGTAACGGGTAAATGAAACAAAACAATAAAATACAATACGATACAATACTATCTACAATAATGAAAAGTAGTAATGAAAAGTAGTAAACAAGGAAACATAAACAAAAATTAGGAATGTGTGGGGTTATTTATGAAAGCTGCTTTAGTATGATTTTTGAAAATGGTGAAGGAGGGACTAATTTGTAAAGTTCTACTTAGGTTGTTCCAACTTGCTAGTTTTTTACCTTTTGATAACATTATTCCGATCTTTATTTTTATCTCCAATGCTGCGAATGAAATCTTTCTTCTTTCTTCCTCTAATTTTGAATGTTGTATGTTTTTCTGCTACAGGTAAGGCGTTCATTTGGGGTCAGGGGAAGTCAGCTGTTAGGTGTGAAGGTAAGAAATTATCATCATTATCTCAAAGAATGTTCTACGAAAGATAATGATAAAGAAATGGTCACTGAAGCTTCTCGAACGTTTGTGAAAAAACTGTTGACAATACAGCTCGTGTTGGGACTGTTTTGTTTGTGGAATCAACAACCATGATGTCAATCAGGACTCAAAATACTGGGTGCATATCCATTTTCTGTACACCCAAAATTAGAGCTGTGCACATAATTTTTGACTGTGGGTGCACCTAGATATTTTTGTCAGAAAAAAACAGTGATAACTTTATTGTGTAATTTGTTTAGTAGGTATTTGTAGCTCTAGAATTTTAGATTTAAGCTCTGTAATAATTTGCCAATTTTTTTCTGCGCACCTAAATTTTATATTAATTGCATCATTGCACCAAATGTGTTTCAAGCCCTTTCAAAGTTACTCATTCAAACATCTTTGTACTGTTGAGGGTATAACTCAGTGTACAAAATACTTTTTTGAACCAGGTTGCAAAAATTAGGTTGCCCATCAGAATTTTACATTGTAGGTTGCCCCACCTACATGTATAAGTTACTACTTTCCTCAAATTAAGTAATGTTACATACATAAGCCTTTGACAATATTTCTAACAGCCTTTAGTTAACTGATATAGATATAGATACTAGTAATAGCCATTAATACCTAAGATAAAAAGCATCTGCCGGATACAGTGGGGCAAGCCAAGTGGGCATGATTTTTTTGGGGGGGGGGGCGATTCTTAAAATTCAGGTAGCACACTGGGCTACCTAGGTTCAAAAATAGGTTGCCCCAGGTAAAATTTGGTTGTCCGGGGCAACTGGGCAACCAGGTATTTTGCACGCTGTAACTATAAACACAACATGATTGATACGGAATTTCTCCCTCTCCCCCTCCCAGTTTGCCAGTGCTGTTTCCACAAGGGTGATGCAGACAGGGTGGGCTGTGGTTCTCTAGCCGCTGACCATCCCTGTGTCCGAGCGGAAACCTCCAACTACCAGCCCCTGGACCACGCAGTGGTCAGTATAGTCCTTCCTGTTTGTTTCTTATCTTTATTCATTGAAACTTACCACAATTGTAGAAGGGTTGACATAAAAGGTGACTATCACCTGTTCAAGATGAGACCAGTTTGCAAGGTTCGAACCGCTGGTGCCTACTCTTTTCTATAAGTAAACACACACGGACACGCACGCGCACACACACACACGCACGTGTGCCCATGCACACACACACATAGACACGCGTACACAAACTCACACATGGACACACACACTCACACATAGACACACACACACTCACACATAGACACACACACATTCACACAGACACACACACAGTCACACAGACACACACACACACACTCACACATAGACACACACACACTCACACATAGACACACACACACAGACACCACACACATAGACACACACACGCTCACATGCGCACGCACACACACATGTACAATGAAGGTGAAGGGTGCCACAAGGACATTGACTTCAGCTGACCATGCGGTGTACGTTTAATGTAGTGTTGCCTCCTCAAACACGGACCTCCACTTCTGTGCCTCCTTGTTGGCACATCCTTTTGTCTCCTGTGTAGGAAACAAACACCCATTTGTCATTTCAAACTGTAACAAAAAAAATCAATTTCCATATGTATATGCAACAAAAAGCAATGTTATGCAATATTCAGTCATTTTTCATGGTTTCATTTTTGCATTTAGGATCAAAAACGTTCTTGAGAAATTGTTCTTGTCTGTCAATGTCATGAGAATACAATTGTGATGTAAAAATTGATCTTCCTTTTATTTTTAGCAAATTGTGGTGAGCTAGAAAAAACACTTTAACACCAGTATACACTGATAATACAAAGAAAGTGAAAGTAAAGTGAGAGTTGTTTGTTGTTGTCCAGGAGGTCAGTAGGTGGACAGTGGAGAACGTGCAGCACTGGATGGCAGCGGTCAACTTGAGCCGCTACTCGGAACTCTTCAAGGCCCGTCATGTAGACGGCTCCAAGCTGGAGACCCTGAATGACCAGGCACTCATGGTGAGGGTCAATTTTAACTTTCACAATGTTGTTAACTATTGTTTAACCTTCTCCCTGCTGTGTAACCCTGTAACCAATAGGAAATAATAAATAACAGTGTACAAAATACTTTTTTAAACCAGGTTGCCCAGTGGACAACCTACGGCAAAAATTAGGTTGCCCATCAGAATTTTAGGTTGCCCCACCTACAAGTTACTACTTTCCTCAAATTAAGTAATGTTACATGCATAAGCCTTTGACGGTATTTCTAACAGCCTTTAGTTAACTGATACTAGTAATAGCCATTAATACCTAAAATTAAAAATCATCTGCCGGATAACAGTGGTGCAAGCCAAGTGGGCATGATTTCACATAGCACACTGGGCTACCTAGGTTCAAAAATAGGTTGCCCCAGGTAAAATTTGGTTGCCCGGGGCAACTGGGCAGCCAGGTATTTTGCACGCTGAATAAATAAAATGATAAATAAATAAGAATAAATGAATTAGTAACCAAAGTTTTTTCAGTGTGTTGATTAATAAAAATGTCAACTGAAAATTATTATATGTCCCAGTTGATCACAAAACATATTTGAAGCATTCCTTGCAAGTAGTTTTCAAGTACCAACGCCTGACTACATTTTATATTTAAAGATTTAATGTTTTTTCCAGCACATGGGCATCATGGATGACTTCCACAGAATCTGCCTGATGAACAGTATAGATGAACTGTGCAAGGGCACCTCAGCAATGGTGAGGCACCTCTTGTTCCTCTGACGTTGTGATAATACATGCTGCCGCCGCGCCGCATGCCTGCCAAGCTGGTGTGTTACGCCAAAGGGCAGTTCTATCAGCTGTACAGATACTTACGCCACATCAATTTAATTTGCTGGTTCTCGGATTCACCTCTTCATTTTTTTCTGATTTGCCAAAAAAAAAAAAAAGATTCTGGTTCTGAATGAAGTCAAAAATGCTCATATTTTACCTTAAACAGTTAAGGAAAGTACTTTTCTTTCTAGTTGTTACAGTTTTTCCATCTATCAATGCAGAGATTTGATTAAAAGTTCAAAATTCATTGTTGAAATATTGACCCAGCCCTTGTGTTGACTTCATGGCTCCTATGGTAGCATTTGGGGATATAAAAGGATGCCATTTTTATATTTTTTTTGCCCTGTCGCTTAATATTTTATCTGAAAAAAATATGAGAACCAACAAATTAAATTGGCATGACCATATGAACTTTTTACAGAGAATTAACTGCCAGAAATTGAGAAGTTTTTTTGTTGGTTTTTGTTATAGAGAACAGCGGTTCCGTTGGACCCCAGCACCCATGGAGAGGAGGCCTCCCTCCCCATCTCCAGTCACAGGTTCAAGGAGCACAGCTTCTCCACCGTCACCTGGTGTGACAAGTGTCACAAGTTCCTCTGGGGGCTCATCAGGCAGGGACTACAGTGCCAAGGTAAGGCCTGTTTCCTGACTGACCCTAGAAAAAACTGCCAACCTGAGCCTTTTTTTGGGGGGGGTCCCTGCAAGGGACAAATTTTTCAACGTTTCAACGTTGTACAATCCCTTTTCCAACATTGACATTGAAAATATAATAATTATAAGTGTCCTCATGCAAGTTTTACTTTGACCAACTTCAGTTGTATCACTAGAGATCGCCAAAGGCTTATGAAAAAAAGGAAGAAAGAAAGAAAGATAATCCTTACCTAACGACCTTAATTTTAACTCAACTATTCACTGTGTACTTCAAGCAATGGTGGGGGATTTCTGAAATGAAAGATGGATAAGTCAAGGACACAAATAGAAGGAGAAAATGAGAAAAAGTCAAGAAGAAAATGACTAATAAGAATGGAGGAGTAGGTTAGGCCTCCATGTTTTGGAACTGCTCCATCTTGAAATGATAAAGATCAAGAGATTGTATGTCTATGTAATTACATCCTGGTTGGAAATATTGTTTTGGGTGGCTGAGCTGTGGTTTTGTGTGGGGATTAGTCTGGACTCTGGATGGAATAGGTTGACAGCTCATGGGTGTGAGGAAGATTGACAGGCAAAATGACTGATCAGGTCAGGTACAGGAAATGGCCAGACATAGGAAATGGGATGAACTTTAAGAGTAGGTTGACAACCATATTTGTTGGGGAAGATTGACATGAGGTCCAAAGGTCAGACACAGGAAATGAGGTGAATTTGAAGGTCACAAAAAAAACCCATAATACTTCCCAGAAGTCTGAATCTCAGATTTCTAGTACTGTTGTAGATATCACTGATGCTATCAATGTCCTCCCCCAGACTGTGCCTACAGTTGTCACCGCATGTGTGCCCACACCGGCGTCCCTCCCTGTAACACAGAGGTCAGGGACAGGCGAAGAAGAGAAAGCTACTCACCAAGTAAGTCATATTGCCAATCTGTTTCTCACTTCTTACTTCATCGAACAGCTTACACGTATCAACGTCTTCTTCTCTTCGGCCAACTTTCAAGGGTGGTGGGACACATTTTGGACGTAAATTCTCTATCTGATAATTCTTTAGAACATCTTTTACTTTACGGATCATCCTTTTGCAGTTTTGAGACTAAAAATTTTTGAGCTTTACTCAGAATTTCATCATCAAAAGTGGTCCTTTTGTATCTGATCGATCTTTTCGACTTCACAATTATTCTACTCGTGTCCTATCAGTAATAGGGGTTGGGACTTGTGCTCGTTGAATTTCATTTACTAAACCCCAGTTAGTTTGTTTCGATTTGTATATATTTCTTTATTTGTCGAAGTAATCAGTATATCTCTGCTCAATCATTTTGTGTAGATGGCACCGTTAATATAAGTTCCATGGAACTTGAGTTTGATGCCATCTTGTATGTTTTTATGTTTTTGCTGTTTTAAAAAGTCATAACATTTCTCATCCGCAAGGCAGACTTTTTTCTGGCGTAGGACCGCTGAAAAAACAAGCCGTTTGACGTACATTTAAATTCATTTGAAGTGGTTGTATGAAGAAGTTATCATCTTCTGAGATTTGACTTGAGCGTTTGTCTCATCTCACAGACAAAATATTCCCGGATGTGTCAACACTTGAATAAGAATGTTGTCGCTTGTCCCAGATGTGCATCGCAAAGTGAATAGTGTAGCATTGCAAACGGCTGTTACACGAAACGATTTGTCCGTTTCCTGCTTTTTGTAAATGAAGACTTGAAGTGCGTTCACAAGATGTGTCATTTCCATCTGTTTGGTCTGCTAGATACAAAAGTCTTCAAATGCTGTATGACGTACTCACCTAGGGCCACGCCAATTTTATTTGTTGCTTCTCGAATCGCCCTGTCCATTTTTTTCTGATTTGCAAAAAAAAAATTTGTGGTTCTAAATTAACTGCAAAATGCTCAATGAAAGACATATTTTGGCCCCAATAGTTGAAGAAAGTCCTTTCTTCCTAGTTCTTAAAGTTTTTCAATGTAACAATGCAATTTTGTTTCATTAAAAATTCAAAATCTCTTGTTTTAATTTTAAACCAGCCTGGTATGTTCGCTTCATGGCTCATATTGTAATATTTCTGGCTATTATGGGGTGCCTTGGCCTGTTTTTTTTTAATTTTTATTTCACCCTGTGGCTTCATATTTTTTCTGGAAAAATCCGAGAAACAACCAATTAAATTGGTGTGGCCTAGGCTGTAATTTCATACAACCGTCATATGGAAGTGAGGACAAAAGCGAGGATCTTTCTCGTCCATTCATAGATACGTAGCGCGATCGTTTAGAGTGGTTTTTGAAGCAGTGAGAAGTGGGGGAGCATTTTGCGATGGCTGGTACGGAGGCTGTCCAGGGAACTGGTTGTATGCCAGCGTGTGTGTACGTGTTTTGTGTGGGGTGTGATCTTCAGGGTTCTAGCTAGGATTTAATTTTAGCGTAGTGGCACTGGCCACATGTTGAGGGAGCGCCTCTTCCACGGTGTGGAGCTTTAAAAAATTTGAGCTAAAAAAGAGGCCATTTGAGGGATACCCAAAGGGAAAAAATGTTATTTTTAAGTTTTGTACAATGTATCCTTGATTGGTAATTTTTACATTTGATCTGGCATTCTTGAACAAAGAAATACAGTCAAAATGCCCCTATGCTGTATTGAAAATTAGCGTAGGGGGGAAATTTAGCGTAGGGGTCAAAATTATAGCGTAGGGGGGCCCTACGCTACTTCGCGCTGGCTAGAACCCTGATCTTATATCAGGACAAGGACGTCATATGTTCACCTTTTCTCCGGGGATTAGGGGCAGACAGTACATTTCACTGTTGTGTCCTTTCCACATCCTTTGCTTTGTATCAAGGACATTTCATATTTTCCTTCGTTCCCAAACACGTATTTGTCGAGGGATATTTAAGTACTATTATGTAGGAAAGCCATGGTAGATTTTGAGATGTACAATGTGTCTGGTTTTCTGCACAGATCCGCTGTTTGGGGAGGATTTGAAGCTCCAGTTCAGTCCGCCCGACCCCGCACCAGTGGTCGTCATCAAGTGCTGTAAAGCCATAGAGGAAAGAGGTGGGATATGCTTATGGTTAAACTACATATGTATCATGGTTAAACTTATGGTAAAAATGTGTCCAGGGCCCAACTACAAAGCAGTGCGTAGCCACTGAGAGGTTCACCCAGATGACTTTACTGATACTGATACTAGTCAAGTTAACATTAGAGGACTGTCTTTCGAAAATTTACTTTGTTGAAATTGCAGCAAGACAAGACAATGCAGGCACTTCGCAATGTGAAGAAATTACTGAAGTAGCGTGCGTAGTCCAGTGGTTAGCGATCCTGCCTCTGGACTAAGAGGTTGGGAGTTTGAATCCTGGCTGATGTCGCTCACTCGACATGCACGCTACTGTTTAGGGTCGCAGTCCTTAGGACGGGACGTTAAGCCGTGGTCCACTGTTCATTGTGCTTGTCGAAAAGAGCAAGGGGAATTTCCCTGGTACAATGAACCTGTAAATACTGTACATAGCACCTGTCTTCTCTTGTCACGACCAGTGAAAGATTAGCTCTTCAGTGAGCTAAACTGGCTCGAGATCACTTCCACTTTTTTACCGTACTACAGTATTCATTTTACAAGGACACCTTAACATCTAGCCTTTTCTTGCTGTTTTTCAGCCATCTTTTAGTCGACTTTTGTGTTAAGAATTCTTTTTATTGCCTAGGTCTTGATCTAGATGGAATCTACAGAATCTCCTCCTCAACTGCTGCTATCAACGAACTCAAGAAGTCGTTCAACACGGATCCCAACTCGGTGGATCTAAGCATCTACGACCTCCACTGCGTCTCGGGCGCGCTGAAGCGGTACCTTCGCGAGCTGCCCAACCCGGTGCTAACCACTGAGCTGTATGACAGCTTCATCGCAGCAGCTAAAGGTAGGAAAAAGGCTTTTTGGCGACGCCTCAGGGGTGGAGCCGTTGGTATAGTACTGCAATTGAGTTGAAAATATTCCAAGAATTCCACGATTGCATTCCATAGGGAACTTAATTTTGTCAACAACTCAAGAACGGCTGGATGGATTGGTTTCATACTTGGTGGGTCCGTAGGGTGTGACTACATCTAGAAATGATTTTTGGCCCCCTAGTGGCCTCCCTTGGTACTGCAGCGGAAATCAGCTTTTTGTGGTTACGGTGGATCCTTGTCAAATATTCTGTAGACTGTAAGATAGCATAGTTTTTCTGATTTTGCTGTAATAATTTCATTTGACTGACTGTACACAGGGCTCAAAATTCGTTTTGCGTAAAAGGTGCACTGGTGCACACAACCTAAAAAATTGGGTGCACAAAAAAGTTTTTGGGTGCACCTGATATGAAATAGAATAGTAGAGTGCTCACTCACTCACTCTCGTCCTGTGACCTCAGTGGTCGACATCCAGCACTGATGTAGAGTGCTAGCAAAAGCTAATTATGTTTCATTTCTAAGGAAAAGTACTACAAAAATTCTTAGATGTTAAGAATGTGCTGTATTCTACAGATTTCTGCTGCACATTTAACATCTTTACATGCGTAAACCTACAAAAATATTCCAGTGCACCCACAGAAAAAGTGCACCTTTAACATGGTACCTGTCTGCCTCATCAAAACCAATAGAGAATTGGTAGCCAAACGGCTACTTCACTATACTAAAGGTTAAAAGCTTGGCAGCTAATAGCTTTTCTGAACTGTCCCCATTTCTAGAGCTGAAAGAAGAAGTAGAGCTGGTTGCGCGACTGCTGGAGCTGGTGAAACAGCTGCCTGAGCAGCACAGACTGACGCTGGAGTGGCTCATGGCGCACTTCTGCCGTGTCTGCCAGCACATCAAGGCCAACAAGATGACTCCCAAGCACCTGGCAGTGGTGTTCTGTCACATCCTGATGAGACCGCCCTGGGAACATGTGCTGTAAGTACCCAGCTCAGGGTTCTAGCTTGGATTTAATTTTAGCGTAGTGGCACTGGCTGCATGTCGAGGGAGCGAAGCGACCGAGAGGGGGGATGGGGCGGAGCTTAAAAATTTGAGCTAAAAAAGAGGCCATTTGAGGGATACCCAAAGGGAAAAAATGTTATTTCTAAGGTATGTACAATGTATCCTTGATTGGTACTTTTTCACATTTGATCTGGCATTCTTGAACAAAGAAATACATGTACAGTCACAATGCCCCTATGCTGTATTGACAATTAGCGTAGGGGGGAAATTTAGCGTAGGGGGTCAAAATTATAGCATAGGGGGCCCCTACGATACTTTGCGCTAGCTAGAACCCTACCCGGGCTATTCAGACTGGGTTTAGAAAGTGGGAGGGCTGTTAAAACACAATTTGTAATCCGCTGTAGCTCTTGACTGAAAAATGAAAAGACCGAAGACCTTAGCTACTACTATATACTGTTAAAAGAAATGCAGTTACTTTTGTGATTACCCTTTTAGTCATTCCATCATCACCACTTTCTGTAATTGTTTTAAGGTGAGAAAAGGATGAAACAATATTATACATAGTAAAAATGGTTTTACATAGCAAAACTGATGCTGTTACTAACACCATCTTTACCCTACACTGTCACTGATGTTTCCAACTCTTCTACCACTCTCCAGGCAAGTGACCAGTAACACGGAGTACCATGTGAAGGTTGTGGAGTTACTGTTGACAGGAGGGAGCTGGGGAGAGCCACTGCCCGATGTGGAACTGGAAGAGGACAAACCAGGTAAAAACAGACACCTTGATTTGATTTGATTTATTGAAATTTCAACAGTGCAATACACGTTGCTGGTGTTGTGTCCCACACATAGAAACAAATACAGCATGGACAATGCTCAGTTACACTTGAGCTAAGTGAGGAAAGTTGTGTAAAGTGCCTTTCGCAATGGCACAAGATCCATGCCATGTCAGGACTCGAACCCGGGACCTCTTGGTTCCGAGTGGAGCACTCTGCTGTTTCGCAACACAACCCCACATACCTTAGCTATTATGTTAGCATGTGAAATCAAAGATGCATTGCACAAGTTGCTTACTTGCAAAAATTTCATGCTTCACCTCAGTTCAGCATGACAAAAGAAGATTTGGAATCATTTTCAACTTAAGAATACGATATTCTTATGATTATGGATGTTTTTTTTAATATGTTTCCTCCAGGGATTTCATTTCTGTTGTTACTTGCGATCAAGTAGTCATATTCTAATCCTGGCCACCTAATAAATTTTAAACGCAAGGATACATCAGAATTTTACTCAAGATTTTTGTCCTGATGTTGTATTTTGTTTCTTTCTCACACTAGCCATACCACCCCGGATAGCCACTGGGACGAAAAGGCAAAGAGAACAGCTTCAACAACTACGAGACACCACAGTCTCTTCAGGAGGCAGAGTGGTACTGGGGAGACATCTCAAGGTGAACTGTCATCTTCCTCAGCCTTGACTGTCTGCACATGAAAATTGTCTTGTCTCTGTGACATCATTGAATAGTTGTAGAACCCTTGTCTTGTCAATGTACATATATGTACATTTAATTTACTACCACGTAGGCTGTACTTAGCTTGATAGGGCATGGATGTAAAATAAAAGCTAATGAACAAATTAATTTTCTTGGTTCAAGACTGCTCAACTTGCCCAAATTTTCCATTCCTTGATAATTTCCTGTATCCGAACATTCAGGGTTGGACATGTCCAATTTCCCACTTGCCCAGGGCAAGTAAAAGTACTGTTCAGGCAAGTGCATGTGCCTCCACACTTGCCCGATTGGGCAAGTAAATTTTTTGGATGCAAAGTATAGCTGCTACGGTGTTTGGAGCAAGTCAAACCACCTTCTGTCAATAAATTATATGATATAGAAATTAAGCATCCAACATTATAAACTCCAAAATATGATGACTTCCTTGGTGGTAGTAAAAATGCATGGAAATAGGTATATTTTAGGCAAGTGGATTTTTTTACAGCTTGTCCAACCTTGGAAATTACAGCTCAAATCTGGTTGAGAAGTTAAGTTGGCACGCAGCCTAAAGTGCCAAATGCGTAAAACTCTGACTGTGTACTTGTGTATGAGTGAAGGCTAACAACAAGTGGTGTATTCTCACAGGGAGGAGGTCAATGACAAACTGAAGGACACACCAGATGGAACCTTCCTGGTCCGAGACGCCTCCACCAAGTACAAAGGGGACTACACACTAACCCTCAGGTAGGAGCCCTCCTCAGGTTAATGCCCTGAAGAAAAGTACAGTACTTGTTTGTTAGCAGAATAAATGGTTGCTGTACTGTGCTTGTTTCCTTGTGTACTGTAATAGCAAACACACAAACGTTTTGACTTGTTGTAGCAAATGTATCCGAAAACTCAACCTTTGTCCTTAATTTGAGGTGCCAGAAATGTTAAATTTCGTTCATACATCAATGAAGGTTAGAAAAATTTGGGTGCACAAAATTTTTTGGGTGTACCATATCAAATAAGATAAGTAGAATGTCAGCAAAAACTTATTATTATAATGTTTCATTTCTAAAGGAAATTACTACAACAATGATTTTATTATTATTATTAACACTTAGATGCATAGAATATGCTGCACCCACAGAAAAAATTGGGTGCAAAGGTCCAAATTTGGGTGCACTAAGGTGCACATGCACCCAGTATTTCGAGTCCTGAACACACATCATACAATCAATACGATGCTGACATTCCATTTCTCCACACAGGAAAGGGGGTAACAACAAGTTGATCAAGATCTGCCATCGTGATGGGAAGTACGGGTTCTCGGAGCCGCTACGCTTCAGCTCTGTGGTAGAACTGATCCAGCACTACCGGAAGGAGTCCCTGGCACAGTACAACTGTAAACTGGACGTCAGACTAACCTATCCTGCCTCCAAGAGCCAACAGGTAAGGTCTTTAACCAGGTCTCCAAATTGACTTCTCTTCCCAGCACTGTCTCAAAAGTATATTCCAATTGTCCCGAAGTAAGGATGAACTGTCCAAACCTTTTTTGGAAAGTATTTGAGTAGTTGAGAAAGTATTGTATGACTTCAAGAGTTTCCTTCCGTATTCGTAGCAATTTGACACCCTCGGCCCAACTGGCTGTCATTTAAATGTAGGAATGTTAAGAGATACGTGTACTTCAAGAAAAGTTGAGAGAAAATGTTGCTTGATTTGTTTAGGGTGATGAGAGTGTTGAGGGCAGCAGTGTGGACATGGTGGGGAAGAAGCTTCAGGAGTTGAACAAGGAGTACCTGGACAAGAGCAAACAGTACGACCAGCTGTACGAGTCCTACACCAAGTCCACTCAGGTGAGATTTGATTTGATTTATTGAAATTGCCACAGTGCAATACACGTGGAACACAGGCAGCTGTTGCTGGTGTTGTGTCCCACACATAGAAACAAATACAGGACAGACAATACTCATTTTCACTTGAGTCTAGTGGGGAAAGTCGTGTAAAGTGCCTTTCCCAAGGGCACAAGATTGGTGACATGTCAGGACTCGAACCCGGGACCTCTTGATTCCGAGTCGCGCACGCTGCCATTGCGCCACACGACCCCGAGATACGCAGCGCTAGTACTGTTTACTTAAACCCATATTTAGGTTCAGGTCCGGATTCAGCGGATTCCTTTTTCCTGCATTTTGAGAAGTAAATTTGAAAGACAGACCCTGGCTAGAACACAAATGTCTAGGCTCTGCAATTACAGTCAAACCACAAGAGGACCACCTGGCCAGTGTGACCACTTTTTAAAATTTTTCCTGCTAAAACAAAACCATTGTAGTCACCACCTGTCCACATAGACAAGTTTTTTTCGATCCCCTGGGTGGTCCTCTTGGGCAGTTTTAGCTGTATGAATACAGGGGTGACTTCTGGGTCAAACACAGAACAGGTTAGTACCAGGACTTTGGTTCTGATTTAAACAGCTCCATCTGGGTTTTATGAAATACTGACAGCTCTGTGGGGTCAATGTCCTCACCAAGACTCCTTGAAATGATTTAAGGGATAAGATAAACCATTAAGGGTAGTATTAGGGTAAGCTATGTCTTATCCTAAATAGATCTCTATCAGTCGCCAGTGTCTGTCATAACATGAAGTATTAGCATGAAAGTTCATCTGAGTTGGTAATTTACGCAGTCAAAAATTAACAGTTCTCCAACTCAAAAGAGAAATTTTGGTGAGTCTAATTTCTTTGAGTTCACTCACACTCACTCACTCACTGGGTCGAGCTTCCCTCGGTTCCAATGACTGCTCTCCATCTCTTCCTATTCTTCATTTCTACCATCAGGTTTTTCCTGTTGAGCTGGGTGTCGTCCATTAATTGGTTAACCCTTGTCCTGCTGGCATTCCTGGCACAATATTTTTCAATAATTCATGTCTTAATTAGATCATAGACCCCCAATTTTTTTTTGCTCTGCAGTGGCATTCGTTGCGTTTCGCTGCGGTGTGATGCGTTGCACGAGAAATACCCCCAAATTGTACCTATACAGGGTGTTATATAGATGGTACTGTATGTGCAGAACAACAATTGTTGTGCTCCGCAGGACATGGGTTTAATATAGTTTCTTGCTGGACGACCTCGACTTTCTTTGAGTATAGGAGAAGAGTTTAATTTGACTTAGTGCTGCTAGTATTCAGTGCATGTTTTATCAAACACTGAATGATAGACAGGTTAGTAAACTGAGCAGTAGGTCAGTGTCCTCCTGTGAACTGCCGCCTTATTAAAATAATTTAAAGGCTAAGATAAACCATTAAGGATAGCATCAGGGTAAGCTCTGCCTTATCCTTAAGGTGTCTGTCTGTTGGTGGGTCTTAAGGCTGAGTCCTTGCAGCTCCCACATGGTGGTTTTAGATAAGATGGGGGACAATCTGTTCTGGTGATACATGTGATGGTAGGAGGTGGAATCTTTGGGGAGTTATCCACCAGATCTTTTGAGGTTATTGACCTCCGTGTGTGTCATTTAAAGCGCTGAGGTTACTGACCGATATTTGTGTCATTCGATGCATGTAAATTCTACGTTTTTACGATCAGTTGTGGGTCCTTGGAGGGTTTCGTGGCTTTTGCTGGTCCTGGTTCAACGTTCAAATATTTCGAAGTGTATTTTAGTGCTGTAGGGTCACACATACATTCTGGGGGCATTCAGAACACTAGTGCAGTAAGATTCTTAATTTCAAGCACTTGTAGACTGTATTACAGTACAACTACAAATGTATTTGTGACTAGTGCTGTGTACCGGTTTGCTGGACCAGTCCCGGACTTAAAAATGTTTAGGTTCAAGTCCAAAAAACCTAAAGTCAAGAACCGATTCCGGACTTATTAAAAATAAAAACATGTCACGTACGACCTTTTTCTTTCCAAAACCATGACAAAACCGTTCCATAGATTGCAAAATCTTTGCTGCAAAATGAAGAAAACATTGCCATCGGGCATCATCAAGTGTCGGCCTCCATGTTATATGGCCAAAGTTTCACCCAGACAACATTGCAAGGTTGCCAACATGCAATTTTGTATATGCCATGGGTTTAAGACCAGACTTACGAGTCCGGAACTGAACCTAAACCTCTTGACTTGAATCCAGACCTGAACCTAAATGCGGGTTTAGGTACATAGCACTATGTGTGGCTGTATTGCAACATGTATGTTTAAAAGTACAAACCTGAATACAGTAGTTCTGAACATGAACTAGAGATTGAAGGTTGTTAAGAGTTGTGTCTTACCATCTGGTGTCTGTGTGTTGTACAGGAGATCCAGATGAAGCGTCAGGCCCTGGACGCCTTCAAGGAGACCATCAGCATCTTTGAGGAGCAGGCCAAGTCACACGAGAGGTACCACTCGGAGGTCAAGGGTCAGGAGTACAAAAAGTGAGTATGTCCTACCTGATTATCCATATATTGTATAGAGAAACATACAGGTAGCTGTATGTACTTGATGTTGTAAGAAGTAACTTTTCACTTTGTAGGTTTGGAATAAAAAGATTTGGAAAAATTCTTAACAAGTTCTTAACAATTCTTAAAGTTCTTAAAAATTCTTATCACTGTATCGAGAGATAAAGGGCTGACCTAGGTTTTACCCAAGCAACCTTTCATCTTTGAATAGTCATTTTAATAAAGGTAATTTTAACCCTAAAAATTACAGGATTATGGAGAACTACGAGAACCTGAAGTCGCGGCTGAACGAGATTATTGAGAGCAGCAAACAGCTGGAGCTGGACCTGAAGCTGCAGACAGAGGGGAACAGGAACCTGGACAGGGAGATGAACTCCATCAAACCTGACATCATCCAGCTGCGCAAGATCCGAGACCAGTACGTCATGTGGCTGGGGCACAAGGGCGTCAAGCAGGACAAGATCAACGAGTGGCTCAAGGCTTCGTACGACGGACATGGCGGAGACACCACGTAAGTACCGCTGCGTCATTGTCTGGTGCTGCTGAGTCGAAGCAGGCCTCGAAATTAACCTTTTTTTTGCGACACCTTTGGGGCGGAGGCATTTGTGCAAGTACTACGATCGCTTTGAAAGAATTTCAAAAATTGCTCGAATGCATTCCCTAGGGAACTGGTTTTGAGGTAATCTTTGGCCATGTGGTTTTTGTACCAAGCAGGTAACTTACACCGGGTGCCCAGTGCCACCAATCCAGCTGCCTGGCATGATTAATTACTGGTCAGAATTGTCCCAAAAATAAGATTTCAATTGTCCCGAACTGAGGATGGACTGTCCCAACACCTGAATTTGTACAACTTTAAGTCCACTTAATTAGTAAGTGTCCATCATTTTTCCCAGACTGTAGGGAAATACATGATAGTATCATGGGCGCAGAACCATCTTTGAGGCCCCCCTCCCCGACATTTGGAATCCCTGATTGGTCAAATTTAAATGTTTGTCAGAGTATTATGGGCTGCCGGCGGCCTGCAGCAGGATGGATGGATCGCGTTCCTAAATGACGTGGACGGTCACAGAATTTTCCAATTGCCCCAAAATTGTCACAAAACATAATTTGAATTGTCCTGAGCTGAAAATTTAGTGTCATTTGACACTGGGACACTGTTAATTTCGAGCCCTGTCGGAGAGAAATTAACAAGGTTGTTCTTATCACATAGACATAACAATATGCTGATATTGTACCTTTGGGCTCTTTATCATTTTGAATAGCCTTGAATGGGATGAAAAGAGGATCGCTTGCGATATGATTTGTAAGATTTAAAAATCCAATGATATTTCGACGACAGACATTGGAAATGTTTGTATACACACTATATCACCAAAGATCACATGGCAATAATATGATAAAGTGTTTTTCCCTGTGAATCTTACATTGGACTGTTTTACCTGCAGTGCACCCAACTTTAACGAGGAGGCTCTGCCGCACCATGATGAGTCTCTGTGGTTCCTGCCTGACTGTTCACGGGTGGACGCTGAAGGCTTGTTGGCAGGAAAACCTGAAGGAACCTTCCTGGTGCGCAAGAGCAGTCAACAGAACAACTACGCCCTGTCCATTGTGTAAGTACAATACATTCTTATACTAAGTTATAGGACAGTAAGCTCAATATGTTAACTAGAGAAATAACATTTGCAAAGCAAATGCATAATGTTTACCTTTGGACATGGTCTGCTCTGTGACGTCTTACTCAAACACATTCACATACATGTACTACTAGTATATGGTGACAGGGGCAGAGCAGACAGTGAAATTGCAACATTATGTAACCCAACACCAGTCACCATGGTGACAGATGTCAACAGATCATGTCATTGGTCAGGTCAGAGGTCAGTGTTTGGAGAAGAAAAAGAGGAAGAAACAGAGCAAAAACAATATGTTTTCCTTCGGTAAACATAATAAAAACAAAAAGAAAACAAGAAATCAGAAATTTCATACCTTCGTGTGTAAAGATTGACTTTCTTGTTTCATCCATTTTTGGGAACAAGATGTTTATTTACCCTTTTTATTATTGTTATCATTATTATTATTATCAATTATTATTATGCTTTAAATTGAAATGGAGGAGGACAAGAATAAGCCCTGAGGCTTTTTTCCTCCTCCTGCACATTCATTTTGTTTAGGTTAATTATTTTATATTCTGTTTCGTTTGATTATTACATTTACTTCTGTATTGTTTTTGTTTTATATATATGTGCAAATAAAAATAAATAAAAACGCTGTGTTGTGTTTACAGAGCGGAGGAAGGGGCAGTCCGACACTGTGTCATCTACAACACAGCGACCGGGTACGGGTTTGCCGAACCCTACAACCTGTACGCCTCTCTCAAGGACCTGGTGCTACACTACCAGCAGAACTCGCTTTACGAACACAACGACTCGCTCAACACGACGCTGGCGTACCCCGTGTACGGCCCTCCCCCGCCCGACCTCCCGCAGCGGTGACGTGGTGAGATCGCGGTCGCTCGGATCCACAAAGGTGCTCTCTATCAAGGGCTGTACTGTGACTGTGACGAGGGTAATACCAACACGACAGCCGGTAATCTTGGGGAACATCGATCCCACGGAAATAGTTGTGAAAATACGAACTGATGAACACCAACTGGTCATGGCAAGGTTATTTTAACATTTGAATGCCATAGCTTGAAGCAAAGAGATATCTAGATACAAGAACAAGTAGTTGTTTTTTTTTTGGTCCAATCAGGTATGTTTGCAGGAGTGATTCAGTAATTTTGAAGTTTTACTGAAAGCGGACTGCATAATCACTGCCAGTGTTAAATTTGTTCACAAATTGTATCCCTTTTGACAGATTTATTTCAATGTTTATGTTTGTTTGTTTGTTTGACAGACCTTGTCAACACGTCCTAGCTAACGCTAGGGTTCCCATGATGCTTTTAGAGTAACGGTACCCTGTTTGAAATCCTTGGAAAGCCAGAAATATGACAGACACACTTCCCAATGTATTGTCAAAGGACATATCAAAACTCTGTGCACGCAGAATTTTGTCAGTGACCTTAATACTTACAAATAGTCAACGCTGTGTATCTATATGTATATAATATATATATCTAGCATTGTATGAAGAAGATGCAGCTTGACATGGAGAGAAAGATAGGAATGAGGAGGCCTTTTCTTAGTCCATCGGCTTAAAGAGTTAGAAAAAAAATTTTCAAATTGTTCTGAAGAATGACAGATTCAAGGATTGTCGTTTCGATTTGTTGAGACTTGAAGAAGAGCTTACTGTCTAAGAAGAGGCCATCCTCAGCCGTCTTGAACAATAAGGTGCAATCTGAAGTTCCGGGAAATTCCGAGGTTTCAGTCCCGAGGAAACCTGCGGAGTTTTCCCTGGAGAAGACTTCAAACATGATTCAGGGTTTATGAATGATGTTTATTAACAGTGTTTGATGCTAGCTGCAGTCACAGATGTGGGGAGGGGGGCAGACATGACTGTTGTGTGAATAAGAACAGTTTAGACTTGTACATGTTACTAATGAAGAAAGCATATGGCTTGTGAAAAGGAAAATACCAGAAGTGCTGTACAACCCATGAAACGATAGTTTAGGCGGGAAAAATGCCTCAAAAATTCCACCTTTGTTGTTAAATCGGTAAGGATTTCAGTATTTCTGCCACTGATCTTTACCTTGTGTCCTCTTTTTGTTTTCTTCATTATGAATGGTCATGCCTGAAGTTGGAAGACTATGGAATTGCAGATATGAGTGAATCGGATAGGGGGCGCTGGAAGACTTGAGAAGCTTTCTGTTTTGTAATATACTTGCCTAATTTTTGTACAGATGTACCATGATGGTTCCTACTGATTTAGAGACAGAGAGAGAGAGAGAGAGACTGGGCTCACAAGACTGTGATTAATGTAAATAGAAGCATCACATGAGACTAACCAGGTTTAGGAAAGAAATTATCTTTGTTTTCCTCCCACGTTCCCTGCTGTTAATTTTGGCTTGGTAGATTCCCCCACGTGACAAAAAAACAGAGGTAATATTGGGAGAGTATTGCAGAGGCTGTTACGATGATACTGTGATATTTTTTTTCTGGTCGCACTCTACAGCTGACCCTAAGTCTTTTTGTGTACATAGACATTAACTTCTTTTGTAAAAGTTGAAATGTAAAAGCTGGGATGATTGCATGGTGTGTAAAAGGGAATCCATGGTGCCAATGTGACAGGCAGTTTGCCTTGCTGTATCAGCCGAACAAAATGAAGCGGTGCCAAGCACCCATATGAAGACAGTAATACTGCAGATTTAACATCAAGACAACACGTCTGCAGAATTTAAGATCAGAAAAGGCTGCCTCAACTATAACACGTAACCGTCTTGTATTGACGTACGCCTTTGTATTATATTGTATCGTTCATACATCGTCTAAAATGACCATATGCCCAAGGATATGAAGTCCGCAGAGTAGTGGAAACATATCTTCATGTATATCGATATCTGACTGTGAAGAAGAAAAAAAAAGCAGCTTTTGAACTGAAATTTGGTGCTTTACGAATCTTTCCCACATATGGACAAGCTGAGGACAGACTCAGAATCTCTGCTAGTACCAAACTGTTTATTTGAAACGTTCCAAATTTATCCTCGAAAATCCTAACATCTAAAGCTGTCCTGAGCTTTTCATACTTGGGAAAGAGTCCACTGGTTCTTCTGTGTACACTTTTTCTATAGATGTTCACTATTTGATATATTGTGCCAATGGGCCATATGCACCTCCCTTGATGTATATAGACTTCTAACAGGTGTTAATGTAGGCCGTTGAAAGATGCATTAATGACAACTGGGTAACTAGCGCAGAGAAGTTTGTTTTTCCGTAGTGCGTATATTTTGTTCGGTTCAAATGACATACAGTCGAATTGAAAACAGAAATGATCAGATCAGTTTGTTTGTAAAGATCTCTGCTGCTGTACTTACAATTGTAACGTTTAACAAAACTCCGATAGCATTCCATACCAAATCACTTATCAGGGACAGGTACCACTCAACTGCGAAGAAGAAAAATTAGAACAAGAAGAAACCAATTTATCCACGAGTCTTAAATTTGGGTGAAGGAAAGCTGTTGGATTTTGTACCAAAAATTAAGTTTGTTATTATCGTACTTTGTATTAAAAAAAAGAAGAAATATTGTGATTTTCTTTTCCAAAATCAACCTGATCCTGTGCCATTTAGGAAGAAGAAAAATGGATAAAAACTTGAACCATTTTGGTGTGAAATCTGTGTTGCAAAATTCCAGATAACTTGTGAGTATAGAGTCTTGGATTTTTACTCTGATGAATTGTGTCCTCTGCAATACACTCTCAGTTGGAATAAACTTGGAAGAATGACTTTAAAAATGAAACAAGTCGTGTGTGGTGTCTTCATTGGTTGTGTTACTTTACTGATGGTTAATATGTTACGATGTCAGGTCATGCCATT